CTGAATGGTACGCTTGGTCTTGATGGTAGCCACAGCTGCGTTGACATCCTTTGGCACCACATCTCCTTGGAAGCAAATTACCGATATGAGAGGTGTGCTACACTTGCAATGGGGAAGCGCACGTCACATTGCAACAGCATGTGCCAGCTTTTGCCTTGCACCGGGTTCCAATTGGTATGAAACTGTTCCTTCATGGTTGCCATGGTTTGAAGCAAACCTTACTATGTAGCTTACTGACTAAATGACCTAAATGCGTCCTCTTTACTGAACATTTGCATGCTCTGGTGGCGACTGTCCACTATAAACGGCTGCCTCCTGCTCTTCTTACCAGCGGGTGTCCAATGATTCGGCTCTTGTTACCAGCCAAGCATCCTCGATACATCATGCAGCATGCCATGTACTTGCCGTGACGAGGATCGCACTTCACCATCATGGAGGCAGGCTCAAAGACAGACATGGTGATCTCTGCAACTGACAACTGCTCGTGGTATGCCTTCTCTGCTGAGATCACAGGCGCGTAGGATGTCAGCATGAAGTGAATGCGTGGATATGGAACCAAATTTGTTTGGAACTCTGTAATGTCAACATTCAGAGCACCATCGAAGCGCAACGAAGCTGTCCTCAGCGGCTTGAAGTGAGGTTGGGTGCAGAAATTAAGCTATATACTTCATTGCGGGCTCTTGCGAAGTTTCACTGCAGCTTCTTACGGGAGAACAAATCAAAAAACTAGACGAGGAAATGGGGCAAAGGCCAACTGCCTGCATCCTGTATCATTCTGTAGAGGCTTTGGTTTGCCTGCTGGTCAAGAGGACGATCAATCACTACAAGACATGGGTTTGAAGCCGGCGCCAACGTTAAGCGCAAGGTTCCTGGGCACTCTGCATGTGAACAACGAAACCGCACTTGCGCCGAACTATCTGATGCCCAAGGCTGCTCATGCGTGTCTTCAAATTTCAAATTGATACATGATAGCCTCATGCGCCCTATACCAGAAAGTGCAATCGCCAAGGCTAGCGGGGCAACGCATGCCTCTTCGGAGTACCCCACATGCTTTTTGTGCCAGTTACAGTCATCACACCTTCCTCCGCCATGCCATCTGTCCATCGGAGTTGCCCAATATTTCGCTGAAAACAAGCTGGCTTACTTCAGCCCTTCGCATCCCAAGATGCCACATTGTGCTTGGCACCGTGGACGAGGCTTACAGCATACGTATATCTATCATTATCTATCATTATCTATCTATCTATCTATCTATCTATCAAAACCTATCTATCTATCTATCTATCTATCTATCAAAACCTATCTATCTATCTTTCTATCTATCTATCATTATCTATCAGTACCTATCTATCTATCTATCTATCTATCTATAGTATCTGTCTGTCTGTCTGTCTATCTATCTATCTAGCTTTCTATCTATCTATCTGTCTGTCTGTCTGTCTATCTATCTATCGATCTATCTATCTAACTACCTATCTATCTATCTATCAATCCATCCATCCATCCATCCATCCATCCATCTCTCTCTCTCTATCTATCTATCTATCTTTCTATCTTTCTATCTATCGATCTATCTATCTATCTACCCACCTACCTACCTGTCTATCTGTCTGTCTGTCTATCTATCTAACTATCTATCTATCTATCTACCTATTTATCTATCTGTCTATCTTTCTTACTATGTATCTATCTATCTGTCTATCTATGTATCTATCTTTCCTTCTTTCTATCTATCTCTCTCTCTCTCTCCATCCATCCATCCATCCGTCCGTCCGTCCGTCCATCCATCCATCCGTCCGTCCGTCCGTCCATCCATCCATCCATCCATCCACCCATCCATCCATCCATCCATCTCTCTCTCTCTCTCTATCTCTCTCTCTCTATTTCTATCTCTATCTATCTTCCTATCTATCTATCTATCTGTCTTTCTTTCTATCTATGAATCTATCCATCTACCCATCTATCAATCCATCTATCCATCTATCCATCTATCCACCTATCCACCTATCCACCTATCCATCTATCCGTCTATCTACCTGTCTCTCTCTCTCATATTTGTATCCACCTATCCATATATCCATCTATCTACCTCTCTCTCTCTCATATATGATCTGTATGTATGTGCAGTGATGTGGCAGCAAATGACTCGTCACTGAAAGTGTGTCCAGAAACATTTATTTTTTAGCAAGCTCTTCACTTTGGCCACATTTGCATCGCAGCGCTTTCCACGCCTTTGGGCGCTCAACTTTCGCAATGCCAACGCTGTCCGTCCTTGCCTGCCTTTTCTTTCCACATCTCATATCTTGAACAAAGCTCTCCCTCGAACCCAACCAAGCGGCAACATTTTGGGGCCCCTTCCACGACGGGATTTCGGGTAAAACATGTCAACCCCCCTGCGCCCGGAAGTATGTTCTGAGAAATGTCCAATGTGAGCGGCCACTTCATGCAAAGCAAGATGACTATCCCACGCGGCGTTTGTACTTTGAACGATGTAAGGATGTCACATGTTCTTCGCACGCCCTCAGTTTCAATTCTCCGAAGGCACACAGACGTCACACATCCAAAACTAGCGAAGGGAGAATTACGGGGGGCGACGGGTTCTGCTCTTTAGGACTTTAGGGGATGGCTTACCAGCTACTGTTCTGAACAAACCAAGACGTTGCAACAAGGAACAACATGACGGAAAACGATGCTGAAGCAAGAAAGCGTCAATGAAGAAATGATCTGGGCAATCAACCTTTTCAGATTGGTGTAGGTTGGACGTTCAATGTCCAAGTTCCTGCGGCAAATGTCGTAAAGCGCCTCATTGTCCTTACAACAAAATGACGGGGCACGCCAAACGAACTTCCAAGATATGGCAATTCCCTTTGGACATGCCACTTGAAAACTTTCGACGGTGGAATACACTTGTTCGAAACCAGTTTATTTCTATGGTCTAGAGGGCCACTTCTCTCGCTAGATGCCAGTTATGCTGAACAAGCTGCGTACATGATAGTCACATCGGTGTGCTCCAGCAAAGAGTGCACACACCTTGCATGAAATCAGACGCTGCATCCCATCAAACGGTAAATCCAAACCCCAAATTTCGCCAATTTGAAGGAGCAAAAGTACGGGCTAGGATTAAACTGATTCAAACCTTTAAGAAAAAAATCACGACCCAATTTGCTAGGCAGTGTCTAGAGACAGCACGGTATTGTAGGGCTCGACAACTGCGGTGGCCACCTGTGGGCAGCACCACACAGTGAAGGAGATCTTGCTTTTTTTGCCATAATCAACGGAGAGCCTCTCCAGCATGAGGCAGCCCAAGCCGGATCCAGTGCCACCACCGCAAGCGTTGTACACGCAGAACCCTTGCAATCCTTCGTTTGCTGCAGCAAAGGAAGTGAAATCATCACGTACGAGCGAAACCACGCGAACGGACATCTTTACTGCTCAGTCTCCTCTGGCTTGCCTTACACCATGTTTTTATTGAAAACCTTGTCCTACTTTATGACCCTGCTCCTTCTTTTTGCTTTGTTTCCCTTGTTTCTTGCGTCCCTTCCTGTTCTTCGCTTTCCGCTGCCTCTTCTCGCCTGCTCTTACCTGTCCATTCTCTGACTTTTCTTCCGTGAGTTTTACCTTCGAATTTTCGCCCCACCTGCCGCATGAGGGCCTCTAGATTTCAACAGAGGTGTAACTCCTTCTCCTTCTCCTCTTCCTCCTCTTCTCTCCTCCTCTCTTCTCCTCTCTTCTCCTCCGCATCAGGCAGAATGCCACAAAGAATGACAGATAGAATGTTTGAATATTATATATATATATATAACATAAATACATGTATAAATATATATTCTATAGATTCTAGATGATATATCAGAAACTATGTCGGAATAAATTGCCAGGCGGGCGGCGGGATTGCTCGAAATAAAGTAATTCCCCACATCTTTGTGTGGGGTTCTTGTTTTTGATTCTGTATCCCGCCTCCTCCGCCTCTCCTCCTCCTCCTCCGCCCATCTCCGCCCCCTCCTCCGCTTTGGCACACACCATCTTTCACACATAACTTTGTCACACACCATCTTTCACACACCATCGTTGCCACACCATCTTTGTCACACACCATCTTTCACACACCATCTTTGTCACACACCATCTTTGTCACACCATCTTTGTCACACACCATCTTTCACACACACCATCTTTGTCAACCACCATCTTTCACACACACCATCTTTCACACACCATCTTTCACACACCATCTTTGTCAACCACCATCTTTCACACACCATCTTTCACACACCATCCTTGTCGACCACCATCTTCCACACACTATCTTTCACACACCATCTTTCACACACCATCTTTGTCAACCACCATCTTTCACATACCATCTTTCACACACCATCTTTTTCAAAAACCATCTTTCACACACCATCTTTCACACACCATCTTTGTCACCACAATCTTTGTCACCACAATCTTTCACACACCTTTTTTGTCAACCACCATCTTTCACACACCATCTTTGTCACCACAATCTTTCACACACCGGCCTTTGTCAACTACCATACCTTCGTGGCACTACCACCTTTGTCAACTACCATCTTTGTCAACTACCATCTTTGTGGCAGGCGTGGCACTTGGTGACATCCACCTTCGTTTCGCATGGCAAGCGTGGCACTTGGTGACATCCACCTTCGTTTCGCATGGCAAGCGTGGCACTTGGTGACATCCACCTTCGTTTCGCATGGCAAGCGTGGCACTTGGTGACATCCACCTTCGTTTTGCGTGGCAGGCGGGGCACTTATAGCACTGGGCTGGCTCTGGTGGCTCTGGTGGCTGGCACCACTTTGTCACACACCACCTTTCGCACACAACTTTGTCACACACCATCTTTGACACACCATCTTTGACACACCCTCTTTCACACTCCATCTTTGTAACACACCATCTTTCACACACTATCTTTCACACACCATCTTGTACCCAACTTTGTCACACACCATCTTTGACACACCATCTTTCACACACCACTTCGTCACACACCACTTTGTCTCACACCATCTTTCACACACAACTTTGTCACACACCATCTTTGACACACCACTTTGTCACACACCATCTTTCACAGCCATCTTTGACACACCCTCTTTCACACTCCATCTTTGTAACACACCATCTTTCACACACTATCTTTCACACACCATCTTGTACACCCAACTTTGTCACACACCATCTTTGACACACCATCTTTCACACACCACTTCGTCACACACCACTTTGTCTCACACCATCTTTCACACACAACTTTGTCACACACCATCTTTCACAGCCATCTTTGACACACCCGCTTTCACACTCCATCTTTGTAACACACCATCTTTCACACACTATCTTTCACACACCATCTTGTACACCCAACTTTGTCACACACCATCTTTGACACACCATCTTTCACACACCACTTCGTCACACACCACTTTGTCTCACACCATCTTTCACACACAACTTTGTCACACACCATCTTTGACACACCACTTTGTCACACACCATCTTTCACAGCCATCTTTGACACACCCTCTTTCACACTCCATCTTTGTAACACACCATCTTTCACACACTATCTTTCACACACCATCTTGTACACCCAACTTTGTCACACACCATCTTTCACACACCACTTCGTCACACACCACTTTGTCTCACACCATCTTTCACCACACCACCTTCCACACACCATCTTTCACCACACCATCCTTCACACACCACTTTGTCACACACCATCGTTCACCACACCATCTTTCGCACACAGCTTTGTCACACACCATCTTCCACATACAACTTTGTCACACACAACTTTGTTTTACTTGTCGGTCCTCCACCACATCCTTTGTCTTTCCTTCAGGTGCTCATTATTGGAAGAAGTTGCCTTGTGGGGCTATCCGGCCCTTTAATTGGATTTTTTTTCTGACATCCATACCCCAAACACCCATATGTTTCAATGTACAACATTTTTGTCTAGCGCTGCATTCCCCTGACATTTTTTGAGGCAACCCGCCAGGAAAGGTTTACATCAAAAGTCCACCTGCTACCAGAACAAACATTACTACTGGTCACGGGCGGAACTTGCCTGAGACCGGTACAAAGATGGAACCACCGCAACAAAGTAAAATTCCTAAGCACTTTGAAGGGGCCTGTGCAATTGTCTGCCAACTTGCGGATTCTGTCCAACACAAGATCCACAATCTCCTTCCCGATGGTGTAGTGCCCCCTGCAAAAATAAAGGCAATAAGAGACATAGGAAGAGGAGGAAGAGGTGGGAGGAGTAGTGGTGCTGGTGGTGGTGGCACTAATACTACTAGTACTAGTACTAGGTACTACTAGGTACTACTAGGCACTACTAGGCACTACTAGGCACTACTAGGCACTACTAGCTACTACTAGCTACTACTAGCTACTACTAGCTACTACTAGCTACTACTAGCTACTACTCCTCGCTCCTACCTCCTTACTCCTTACTACTTACTACTTACTACTTACTACTTACTACTTACTACTTACTACTTACTACTTACGACTTACGACTTACGACTTACGACTTACGATTACTACGACTACTACGACTATACTACGACTACTACGACTACTACGACTATACTACGACTACTACGACTACTACGACTACGACGACGACTACTACTACTACTACTGCTACTACTATACTACTACTACTACTACTACGACGACGACGACGACGACGGCTACGACTGCTACGACTACGGTGACTACGACGACTACGACGACTACGACGACTACGACGACTACGACGACTACGACTACGACGACTACGACGACTATACGACTACGACGACTACGACAACTACGACGACTACGACGACTACGACGACTACGACAACTACGACGACTACGCCGACTACGACGACTACGACGACTACGACGACTACGACGACGACTACGACTACGACTACGACGACTACGACGACTACGACGACTACAACGACTACGACGACTACGACGACTATGACGACTACGACGACTACGACGACTACGACGACTACGACGACTACGACGACTACTACCACTACTACCACTACTACCACTACTACCACTACTACCACTACTACCACTACTACCACTACTACCACTACCACTACCTCTACCACTACCTCTACCACTACCACTACCTCTACCACTACCACTACCTCTACTACTATACCTCTACTACTATACCTCTACTACTATACCTCTACTACTATACCTCTACTACTACCTCTACTACTACCTCTACTACTACCTCTACTACTACCTACTACTACTTCCTACTACTACTACCTACTACTACTACCTACTACTACTACCTACTACTACTACCTACTACTACTACCTACTACTACTACCTACCACTACTACCTACTACTACTACCTACTACTACTACCTACTACTACTACCTACTACTACTACTACTACCTACTACTACTACTACTACCTACTACTACTACCTACTACTACTACCTACTACTACTACCTACTACTACCTACTACTACCTACTACTACCTACTACTACCTACTACTACCTACTACTACCTACTACTACCTACTACTACCTACTACTACCTACTACTACCTACTACTACCTCCTACTACCTACTACTACCTACTACTACCTACTACTACCTACTACTACCTACTACTACCTACTACTACCTACTACTACCTACTACTACCTACTACTACCTACTAATACCTACTACTACCTACTACTACCTACTACTACCTACTACTACCTACTACTACCTACTACTACCTACTACTACCTACTACTACCTACTACTACCTACTACTACCTACTACTACCTACTACTACAACTACAACTACTACGACGACGACTACGACGACGACGACGACTACGACGACTACGTCGACGACGACGACGACTACTACTACTACCACTACCACTACCACTACCACTACCGCTACCCCTACCACTACCACTACCACTACCACTACCACTACCACTACCACTACGACTACGACTACGACTACGACTACGACTACGACTACGACTACGACTACGACTACTACTACTACTACTACGACTACTACTACTTACTACTTTCTACTTTCTACTTTCTACTTTCTACTTTCTACTTTCTACTTTCTACTTTCTACTTTCTACTTTCTACTTTCGACTTTCGACTTTCGACTTTCGACTTTCGACTTTCTACTTTCTACTTTCTACTTTCTACTTTCTACTTTCTACTTTCTACTTTCTACTTTCTACTTTCTACTTTCTACTTTCTACTTGCCACTTGCCACTTACCACTTGCCACTTACCACTTACCACTTAACACTTACCACTTACCACTTTCCACTTACCACTTTCCACCTTCCACTTACCACTTTCCACTTACCACTTACCACTTACCACTCACCACTTACCACTGACCACTCACCACTTACCACTTTCCACTTTCAACTTACCACTTACCACCACCACCAGCACTACTACTTCTACTACTTCTACTACTTCTACTACTTCTACTACTTCTACTACTTCTACTACTACCTGCTACTACCTGCTACTACTACTACGGCTACTACTACTACTACTACAACTACTTACCCTACTACTAACTACTACTACTACTAACTACTACTACTACTACTACTACCTACTACTACTACCTACTACTACTACCTACTACTACTACCTACTACTACTACCTACTACTACTACCTACTACTACCACCTACTACTACCACCTACTACTACCACCTACTACTACCACCTACTACTACCACCTACTACTACCTACTACTACTACCTACTACTACTACCTACTACTACTACCTACTACTACTACCTACTACTACTCCCTACTACTACTACCTACTACTACTACCTACTACTACTACCTACTACTACTACCTACTACTACTACCTACTACTACTACCTACTACTACTACCTACTACTACTACCTACTACTACTACCTACTACTACTACCTACTACTACTACCTCCTACTACTACCTCCTACTACTACTACCTACTACTACTACCTACTACTACTACCTACTACTACTACCTACTACTACTACCTACTACTACTACCTACTACTACTACCTACTACTACTACCTACTACTACTACCTACTACTACTACCTACTACTACTACCTACTACTACCACCTACTACTACCACCTACTACTACCACCTACTACTACCACCTACTACTACCACCTACTACTACCACCTACTACTACCACCTACTACTACCTACTACTACTACCTACTACTACTACCTACTACTACTACCTACTACTACTACCTACTACTACTACCTACTACTACTACCTACTACTACCTACTACCTACGACCTACGACCTACGACCTACTACGACCTACTACTACTACTACTGCTACTACACTACTACTACTACTACTACTACTACTACTACTACTACTACTACTACTACTACCTACTACTACTACCTACTACTACTACTACCTACTACTACTACCTACTACTACTACCCTACTACTACTACCCTACTACTACTAC